AAAAAAAAAAAAAAAAGATTTGGAGGATTCAGGTTCAAAGCCAGCCTGGATAGAAAATTTCATGATACTCTGTCTTCAAAATGATCAGCAAGAAGCTGAACTGGAAGCATCACTTAAGTTGTAGGGCACTAGCCAAAAGCAAGCAAGCTAAATAAGCACAAGACCCTGGGTTCAAGCTCTAATACTGGCAAAAAAAAGCCCTCCAAAACAACAAATGCTGGCTCCATTAAGCCTTTTGACTCGTATTTAAAAGATATTTTAAAAAAGCAAATGAGATGCAGCTTATGAAATAAAAAAACTTATTAATAGAAATACAGTATATTCATCAAATTTGTTTTCAATAAAAACTACTTCTCAAATGCAAAGAACATACTAATGTGAGGAATATACTTAAAAATGAGATTCTAAATGATGTCAATAATCCAAAGTATCAGAAATAAGCAATAAACAGTAAGAAAAATGAAAGGAGAAAGTTCTCTTTTTCCATAGTTCCTAAGACAAAAAGACCACAGCCACAGGAAGAATAAGTTTTCAAATCCATTTTTTAACCTACACAATAATTTCTCTTACTTCCATATGTAAATGATTTTTTCTCTTTATAAAATTTGTGGTTATAAAAGGAATCATATCTAAAAGCTGCTATTGTATACTAAGTCATCCTACTTAGATTAATAGACAACATATAACAGGGAGAATTCCATATTAAGAATGTCCATACACATCTATCTAATACAATCAATTTACAAGAAAAAAGGGAATAAAAGGAAGATAAGATGGCAGAGGATAATGTGAAGAATCTGAGCCTTTAATTCACTTTCCAAAGCTAAATTAGGAACTACTAAAAGTGAGATATATACAGTAGAGTCTCTTACCTGGATAGATGGGTATGTTTGGTTGTTGTCTGTACTGTGCTCCCCCGGAATGCTGCCTGCTGATCGTCCTTCACATTTGTATCTGAAACGCATTCCTCTCTGCCTGGGTTGTTCAATTATCTCTATATACGGGTTATAAACACCTGAAATTTTTTAAAGGGAGGGGATAATGAGATTAGATTTACAGTACAATGCACTTTAATAATTTTCTTTAACAGCACAGTAAAACAAAGGTTTTTCTCTCCCAACATTAAATGCCACGGTTAAAGTTATCAAGACTGAAAAGGAAAGATGCGCCCCTCCAAGATTTAGCTTCTTTGTAGTGTTACAGGAGTCAGTCACTTGGTGGTAAAAGTGGAAGACTTCATTTAAAAACTAGATGGATGGGTCATACCTGACCATGCAGGAGGCTAAGAATGGAAGGAATAAAGTTCCAGGCCAGCCCAAGCAAAAAAGTCTGACTCTATCTCAATAGAGGGATGCTGGAAGTAGCAACACATACCTGTTAACCCATCAATTAAAGTCTATTAAAGTCTAAATTATGGATCACTATTCAGGCATTCTCCAAGGCAGGAAGTTACACCCTATCTCCAAAATTATCATCAAGATAAGCACCCACCGGTGGCTCACACCTGCAATCCTAGCTACTCAGAGGCTGAGATCTAAGGATCTTGCTTCAAAGACAGCCAAGGTGGGAATGTCTGTGAGGCTCTTATCTTCAACTAATGATAAAAGGCAAAAGTGGAGCTCAAGTGATAGAGCACAAAAGCTCAAAGACAGTACCCAGGTCCTGAGTTCAACCCACAGGACTGGCACACACATACACAGACATACACCCACACACAAAATTAATAACCAGCAAAAGCCAGAGCTGTACCAATAACAACAACAAAAAGCACTACAGAGTTGAGACCATGTCTGGCTCAAGTGGTAGGATGCTTACCTGTAAGTACAATGCCCTAAGATCAACCCCCAATAGCACGTGCATATGCTCACATGCAGATACACACACACGAAGAAAACAGGTAAAAGAAAATAATTATTTGCTATTTATTATTAACAAGGGGCTGCGAATGTGGCATATTGTTCGAAATATGTACCTTCAAGATTAACTACTGATACTTCATGAATGACTCAAAATTATGTTGAGTGGAAGAAGCCAATCCCCAAAGAGCATATACTATATAATTCCATTTATATGAAATTCTGGAGTATGTAAACTAATCTATAATGAATGGAGATCATTAATTGCCTAAAACAGGAGTTGTAGGACAGATGAGAAATTCTGAGGGATGATGGACATATTAGTTATTGTGATGGTATTAATGATTTAGGTTGTAAATATATGTCAAAACTTACCAAATTACATGATTTAAACATGTAACATATCAATTATGCATCAATAAGCTGCTTGAAACATATACATCTTTCCCTTTATTATTCGAATAACAGAAACAAAAGTCTCCCCCAATCCATTTAGTGTTTCTAAATTCCCACAATTACAAGTCCATTTTACTAAGGCTTATATAGTTAGAATGTAATTTTCATAAGGGTAACACAAAGCAAACTTTATTAGTGTAGTAGAAACAGAGTCCTTTTAACTTTACCCAGGCACTTTACACAACTTGAAATGTTATCAACATCTCTTAATGTTCTCCACTGTAAAAGGGAGGTAAAAATGATAGCACCACCTCACAGAGTTGTGAGGGTTGGCTATTACATGTGTTAAATTCTTACCAAGTGTTATACACATAACTGATACTTAATAATTGGAATCCATTATTATTTCACATGCTTTCTTGATAATAATAATACAGTGACACTGTTGCAATTACAATTGTTACCATAATGATTTATGGAACAATGAGGTAAGCACCACAAATTTCTAGTCTACAAAAGTAAGAAAAGCACTAAAACTTTTTTTTGGTTGGTCATAGGGCTTGACCTCTGGGCCTGGGCACTGTCCCTCAGCTCTTCAGCTCAAGGCAAGTGCTCTACCACTTGAGCCACAGCGCCACTTCCAGTTTTTGGGTGGTTTATTGGAGATAAGAGTCTCACTGACTTTCCTGCCCAAGTTGGCTTTGAATGGTGATCCTCAGATCTCAGCCTCCTCAGCTAGGATTATAAGCGTGAGCCACCAGCGCCCAGCAAAACTTTAATTTTTTTTGCAGAAAATGATGAGAAAAAAATAAGAATCAGGAATGTCCAATTATGTCAGAAGATAAAACAGGTAATGAAACAAAAGAATGGGGAGAGGAAGGAGAGAGGAAAAAATATATCCTAGGGAAAGAGAAGAGTGTGTTCATGACAAAATTGGTTTAAGAATAACCAATGGTAGTATACAATGCCACTATTAGCAGGAGAACCCAAAGTCAGAACACTTGTAATAACAGAGATTCCATGTTATGTGTGAAAAGCAATTGATGATGTTGTTGTTTTCCTTGCAGGAAATGATGTGATCAGATTGGCATTCCAGAATGAGAATTATGTTGACAGTGTGTCCACTGAAAAGAAAGGTGAGATGAACAGTTTAGAGACTGTAATGCATTAGTAGTTCCCTCTTCTTGGTGGAGGATGTATTTTAAGATCCCCAGTGGATGCCTCAGAAGTTTAGAGTACTGAACCCAAATATACAGTTTTTCCTACATATATATACAATTCACAAACTAGGCTTTATAATAGATTAACTATAAAAGAATAGAACAATTAGGGGCTGGGAAGGTGGCTCAGTGGTAGAGTGCTTGCCTTGCATGCCTGAGGCCCTGGATTTGATTCCTCAGCACCACATAAGCAGAAAAAAAAGCCAGAAGTGGAGCTGTGGCTCAAGTGGTAGAGTGCTAGCCTTGAGCTGAGGGACAGCGACCAGGCCCAGAGTTCAGCCCCCACGACCGACCCAAAAAAAGAAAAAAGATTGAACAATTATAACAAAATATTATAACAAAAGGTATTTAAAACTTACTGTTTCTGGAATTTTCCATGAAACATAATTTGTTCTGTGGTTGACCACAAGTAACTAAACTGAGGAAAATGAAACTGTGTATAGATAACTGGGACTGCTTGTGATGAGAGTATGTCTAACATATAGCAGTGATAATAGGGATCGATTACTTAAAAGACAAAACTGAAAGTTATTTGGTACCTAAACATTAGGCATCAAAGAAATATTAAAGAATCATTAATCATTTCATGGTTTCTACTTAGTTATTTCTTACTTTGTTCTTATTAGTACTGTTGCCTTTAATTTTATTCAATTTGATTTGGGCCCTTTTTATTTATAGTTCATATACTTAGATGTCCTTGTAATAGTATTTGAGAGAACATATATTTTATTTTCAAAATCTGCTATTTTTTCAGTGACATCTTTATATGGTTGAACTAAAGGCCCAATAAATCTCTGTCCATTGCTTTTTTAAAAGTGTCTTGGTAGGAAATTGACTTAGAATGACATTAATGGTAAGTAGTTAATGCTTTTGGAGAAAGAGGATAAAAAATGCTAGACTCATTTTTAGCATTCAAGAGAAGTAGTTAAATATTTCATTGATTATATGACACATACTTAAACCAGATTCATGAAGTCTATAGACAAAAAAAGTAGAAAAGTAGTTGTTGAAACATTTTGAAATATACTTTTCCTCTTGCAATAGGAAAAAACATCTCAGTCTCACTCACTAACAACCAAGTAACAGAATTATAGCATTTATTCTAATAGTCTGCATTTCCCCCAAACTGAAATAATAATCTTTCCTTCTTAGAAACAACTATGTAGCAATTCTAGTTCACTTCAGTTTAGGGGACAATCACTATTTTCATTTGTTATTTATTTATTTACAGTTATTTTGATGTTTTGAAGCAGGGTCTCACTAGGTAGCTCAGACTGACCAACAACTCAGTCATCCTGCCTGTCTCCTGAGTTACTAATGTTACAGTTGTTCACATCTAGCTTTATTTGTTCTTGAAATAAAACAACTCATTTCATTTCTCCAAACCCCCTGGGGGCAGAACTTGTATTACTTATTAGTGCATTATACACAAATATTAAGTAGATAGCTACTAAGTGAATTATTTAAAAATCTATAAAGGTTGGGTGCCTGTGGCTCATGTCTGCAATCCTAGCTACTCAGGACGCTATTATCTAAGGGTCAAGATTCAAAGTCAACCCAGGTAGCAAAGTCTGTAAGACTTTTATCTCCAAATAACCTCCCAAAAAAGGCAGAGGCTGGGAAGGTGGCTCAGTGGTAGAGTGCTTGCCTTGCATGCCTGAGGCCCTGGGTTCGATTCCTCAGCACCACATAAGCAAAAAGAAAA